GTTTATGTTTATCGCATATAATATATGACGGGATGGTTTATGTATTGTCGGCTGTATCGTTTGCCAGATCACGTATTCCCAAGGAACAATACATGTGTATACATACATACCTCGGAACAGAACATGTATACCACCCATTTTCATTATTAGTATAGTTGGTAAACCCATGATTATTGCTGGTTGGTGGTTTGGAACATTTTTTATTTTTCCATTGAGTTGGGAATGTCATCATCCCAACTGACGAACTCATATTTTTCAGAGGGGTAGGTATACCACCAACCATATATAGTATAGTATAGTTGGGTAATATTACCAAATACATGGGTAGCCTAAAATCAACCAATGCATTATTATATAATATTGTATACCATGCAAAGTGGGGCCCCCTAGATAGCTAAGTTGGTTAATAACTCCAATAACTATGGTTTATGGTACTTATAACTATGGTTATTGAGGCTTATAAACCAACTTATAACTAGGGGGCCCCACATTGTGATTATTGCATTGGTTAAATTATACCACGATGGTCGCCCCTCAGGTGCTCACCGGTGGCCGGGATGGATCCATCGCCATCTCTGAGCTGAAGACCTTGCAGGTGAAGGCCCAAGTCCCCAAGGTGCCACGGTCGGCACCGGTGCACTTCAGAAATGGTCCAAGAAAAAACCTCTAGGCATCATGGGTTGGTGTTTTTGTTAGTGATGTTTAATGATTTTTGGAGTTAGTGTTTAGTGATGTTTAGTGATGTCCAAGGGTTTTTGTTTGTGGTTTCGGAAGGTTTCGGAGGTGAGTGATTTGTTACAAGGTTCGAAATGGCCCGAACAACATGAAGGATTTGTTTCACAAAATAGTGTGCAAAGATCAAGTGGCAGCAAGTGTGGGGATTGTAACGTTGTAGCCATGAAATTTGTGGTAAAACATATGCCCAATTTCTGTTTCTTTGAGGGAACTTGAACCATCTAATGTCCAAGTTCTTTCAGTGTCTGGGATATTTGACCAATCTGAAACTGTCCAGCCCATGTGTCTTAAAGTTGTTTGATATCAAACGGGACGCCTTTTGGCAGGGCGGATTCTATGCCAGATGATATATGTGTGTATTGCAAGTTGTATTTCAAACGTGTGGAGTGTGCACATATGATGTGTGCATACAGAATATCAAAGCAAGTCACGAAAGGTAGCGTCAGCTACCTGAGTTTTCCGTGCTTCAGCACAATCATAGGGGGTATTGGGGGGCCAGCCCGTGGAAAACGTAGAATTCTCGACGTTATGTATTAGATATCAATTATAAGGGCCCCCCCCCCTTAAAATGGTCATGGGTTCAATTCCCGCGGGCGACGCGGTCACGGTCCTCCACAGTAGGGGCACACTCTGAATGAGGGAGATGTCCCTGTAGTCCAGCATATATTGGTTTGCTTCAGTCTCAATAACAGTTGCTGCAAGGAGTCTTAAAAAGGGGTTTTAAATAAATCCCTTTTCGTGCATCATTTCACGCTGCACAAGACACCGTATCATGCAGTCATGCTCTGGATAAAATCATCTTAGACTGCGCAAAAACGTTTTTGGTGTATCATCTTAGGGGCGCAGCATTTTGACACCACTCCTCTCCCACTACACTACCTTTCGTCCGCCTCCGCCTGCTCTCAAGTTAATTGTCTATCTCATAATATATCACACATGATCACACAATAATTCATAATATCAGATAGTTAACATTCATTAAATCTTAACATTGTGTAAATATGCGTTTATTAGACACAAAAACTGATATAAATCATCCCATGACCGTTCTAATTTTGAACAGCCCCAGAAACCATGGTTTAGAAGGGGATGAAACCACGTATTTTGGACCATAGAATCCATAGAGTGGTGGTCTTTAAGCTTAGGGGGACGGGATTACTTATTGTTTTACCCTTCCAAGACTTGGTTGAGATGGGTTTGCTTCATCTATAGTGCAAAAATTTGGTGTAAACCCATAAACCCAAGCACCATACATGGGAATATCAACTCCAAAGAACAATCATCATTAATATGGTATCACCCCCATTGTATGATCCCGAATATGTGGTTTCATCCCCTCCATCCAGCATGTTTCTTGGGTTTTTATGGTGTTGTTTCATTTTATTGGAGGATGGGAGTATATCTCCATGAGCTATTATTAGCATGGATTAGTTGGTTAATACCGCCATTAATGGTTGCTTGATGGGATGATTTACCATGGTATTCATTATATTAATCATTATACAAGGATGCACTATATATTCCCTATTGTAAAGGTTATATATGTATATATGAGATTATATATATTTATATTATATACATGTAGATATATATATATATATAGTCAGTATACCCCTGAGATACAGAGAAATTATGATTGGTAAAACCAATAATTATGATTATTGTATTACAATATTAATGGTGGTGATAGATCATACCAACTACAACATACCCACTATAAATAACTCACCATAATATGGGGATGGGTCAATCCAGCTTTACCCGCTATTTTTAAGGGCACCTACAGTAGGGGTGCCAGAGTTTTGACTCACAAACATATTATATAATATATTTTTACCATCCATTTCTTTTACCATGGTGTTTCACCATAGTACTCACAATGATATACAGACGAATTAGGGTAAAGCCATTTATTATGGTTGGTAAATCCATTAACATATAATAATGTGCCCAACCATCAAAGCTTTATTATTGAGTTAGTTATGGCTGGTAAACCCATAATTATATGGTGTGTAAACCCATTATAAAATAACATGTGCCGTACAATGTTTTCTGGGTTTACCATGGTTTACCAACCTGATGATTTTATATAATTGATTGGGCACCAACAATAACAGGATATGGGGACGGGTCAATACCTATTAATAGCATTTTTAGGGAGATGAACATCCATAAATCCCAGCTATTTTGGGGTTCACTAGGGGTACAAGGTTTTGACCCATCCCCATATGGTTGGTATCACCATATCCTCTCAGATGTGGCCGACCTGCCCAGGACGACCCGGAGCTCCCCACGCTGGGTCGACCCGTCGGCCACCAGGATTCGATCGAGGGACTGGCCTGGCTGCCGCAGGCGCTCGGACGCGGGTGAAAAGTCTCAGAAATCTTCGCTGATTTGGAAGGGTCACTATAGCGAATTTGGATATGAATATCTTTGAATCATGATGAACATTGGAATTTTGAACTGGTGAATCTGGTGAATTGGAATTTCATTCGAAGATTGAACTGCTGAATTTGGTATGAAGAATGGTGAAACTGGAAATTCATGGTGAATTCGAAACGGATTCTAACTATCTACGGTAGTGATGTGCCATGGTAGAACAGTTATGATGTGCCATGGTCAAATTAGCTGGCTGATGGTCCATTCATCCCATGTAACTAGACCATGGATGACCATGGGACATGTAGAAATGGGATGAAAAAGGAATTTGAAGCATTACTGGTTGGTGGTTTGGAACATTTGTTATTTTCCCCAATAGTTGGGATGATGATCCAATCTGATTAAAATGTTTCATGGGTTGAAACCACCAACCAGATTAAAAATTGCCATTACTGGTTTGGTAAATGGGATTGATTTCGCCAGTACCTTTGATAGATAATTCAACAGTTTGCTATAATTAGAAAATCACAATGATAGGTAAATCATTGAACTCAATCATTGAACTCAATGGGCCAAAAAACATTCCATATCTATGGTAAATTACTAGTTGGATCGGATTGAAATAGGAAGTTCGCCACCGAATCACGGATACGGTGGCTGAACATTCGCTGCAGTAGAATGTGACAATGTTGCTAGGAAACTGAATGACAAGAAACTGATCAACAAGATTTGGATGAGTACATACCCTATTTTTTAACATCTTGTCACCCTGAATACATACGATAAAGGGAAATTGTTTAGATTTGAATCCTAGGTGTGGGGTTGAACACGGAACCTGTCAAATCTGATGCGACCTTATGCCATCAGAAAATGTGTAGATCGGTGTTCTGTTGGCCCAAAAAAGCTTAAACCAGTAAACATTGGTTGAAACATTGTGTCAAAGAATTGGCGGGAAGCCAATGAAGTCAGACTCTTGAGGTAGACATGCCTAATCTTTTGGTAGGTTGATAGTGTAGCTTGAGATGCCCTTTCTTCACAATGCATTTTTGGGGGCATGGTTTAACTGTCCAATCGATTTTGGGCAGTGCAGACTTGTCAGATTATGCACAGATATTTTTTTACATCCACGTCCCAGCGGAAAATCATATCCCACAAGGGTGTGTTCCATGTCCGTCCATGCCCGTCGTTGTTTCAGATAGGGTTTCATGATTTCCGGCCTATCTCCCATCTTCAGGTGGATATGATGGTATGGATATGATGTACGGATGAAAATTACCAGAAAAATGGAGAGATCAACACTGATATATACTATATAAAATAAAACATAAAATATACTTCCATGATATCTACAAAGGTGACCATTCTGGCTTGTGGATCCCTGAATTTTTTTTGGTGCCCCCAGGACCAGCGGCTGTTTGTGTCCGGCAGCCGTGATGGTTTCATCAAGATCTGGGATGCCGAGGGCATCGCCTGGGCTGTTGGTCAGGGTGTGGTTCTGAAAAACCCTCTGGCAAATATACAATAAACGATGGAAAATCATCAATTTTAGTAGGTAAACTAACATAACTATACATAACTATTGAAGATCATCACTTTTAATAGGTAAATCAAATAGAACTGGACCATTTTCCATAGCTATGTTGAATTACCAGAGGGTCTACAGGTGCTACAGGACCTGACCTGACCATGCAAAAGCATCAAGGTCGCCAGGGTCTGAAAAATTGTCGTGGCCTGCAAAACCAGACCAAGATAAATCGCAAATCATGGTTTCCTGCAATTGTTCATCAGGTTCCAACATGTTCCAACCACAATTTGGCCTTGCACTACTCTAACTTCGGAAAATCAACCAAAAAACAGATAGATCAGATACTCTCCACTTGGAAACTCAATGCGTTCACATGTTTTGCTGCGTCTAGTTGGGGGGAAAGAATTGTGGAAGTCGATGCGTGCGGCGTCCAGCTTGTGTTTGGAAAACATGGTTTTTATTATTGATACTTTTACCTGCGTTTTTGCATGTTTGGAATTTACCTAATGTGGCAGTTCCATTGGGGATTGGATTGTGTTGGGTTTTGCCCTTTTGAAATTTGGAGATGTGATTGTGACGGTGCACTGACTTTCCCGATTGGGTGTACTGTATATATAGTTGTAACCAGGGTGTCCTCCAAAATCCTCCAAAGAATCCGAATGGCTCCACCAAAAAAGTCCAAGTTCTGGAACTTGGAATCCACGGCTGAGGCCGGACCTTCAGTGGCGATGCCCATGGATCTGCACAGCTCGGTACGGCATTTGGCCATCAACGGCCAGGCGAAGGCAATCCTTGCCTCGTCGAATAATTGCCCTCTGGATCCCTGTGGTAAACATACAAAAAACTTACTATAATTCAAAAGCAATGAAACCAAGGATCATGGGAGCCCTAGATCCGTAGAGACGTGTGCGATTGCATGGGGTGTGCGCTGATAGTGTGCGCTTGTGCGTGCGGGTGTTTGGCACTTGTGCGTGCGGTTGTGCGTGCGCTTGTGCGATTAAGCGTGCGGTTGTGCATGCGGTTGTGCGATTGTGCGTGCGGTTGTGCATGCGATGGTGCGTGCGATTGCGCGCTTGTCCGTGCGGTTGTGCATGGGTACGTGCGCCGGCACTTGCGTAGGTACGTAAGGTGCTTGCATGCGTGGGTATCCTTCATGGTTTTGACACTGCCTGTGTGCTGCTGTATGTGTTTGCGGTTGTGCTGAGATAATCTCACTATATAGCCTTTTTCCAAATCCCACCAGCAATAGCGTCGCCGTCTCTTTATAATCCCACAGTGCTGCTTTTACAAGTTCTCTACCGAGCACTTGTGATCTTCGTGCGCAAAACTTTGCCCAATCCAACTCTTCATTGCGACTTCCAGCTCACTGTCTGGTTTGCACTGTGACTGGAAGATCACACCCCCGTAGCAATGAATTGGTCAAGATTGGACACACTCCCAACAACATCCAATTGGATCCAATTGCCCATTGATTGTGCAGAATGATTTATGCGTATCCGTAGGTGTCACAGAAAACATGCTGTTTGTCGTGCACATACTATCATATTAGATCATATATATTAGTAGATAGTGTACACGCACATGCAAATGCAGACTCTGTGTTCGAACACATGGTGCAGTGTACATGTATATGTGAACAAAAGTGGTGTGACCCGGAACGAGGTCTGGTGAGGCCATGACCTAAATACGTATCTCACATGTTTCTGATTTGGATATGACGACTCAATAGGCAGGAGGTGTTTCATGATTTTAATGTGGATCAGGACTGACTTCATGTTCCTTCGAACGTATTATTAGCATAATGTGTTTTTTAAATGTGTTCCTTAACTTGCCTGCGATGTTTTCCAAGTTCCTTCCTGTTCCTTCAATTTTCATCAGTTTTTCTTGGGTAGGGAGCGGCAAACTATACGACCATAGGAAATTGAATGGACACACAAACCTGAAGAAAAACTGATGAAACCACACAGTTTTGATGGCCGCTCGGCCCGTTGTGGAACCTTCCCAAACCGGCATTTGGAGATAAAAAAATAAAAACGACCATGGTTTCCTTGCTTCCCTGCACGATTCCTGTGGTTCGTGGGGGATTTGGAACTAGCCCAGGGATGCCCAAAGCAGAACATCATCTTTAAAAAGACCAAGTCCTAAATTCAAGATGCTTTATTGTCCTTCATTTTGCACCCTTTTTCACTTTTTCCGATCAATTTATATAAGACATTTCAATGGTAAACTGAAGATATCCAATTGTTTTTTTCCCCTGTCGCCTAGCCTCTTCTGCAACCACTCCCTTCTGGAGCCTTGATTGGAGATGGAAAAATAAAGAAAACATGCGGCTTTCTTGTTTCCTTGCAAGATTCCTTGTGTTTGGCGTTTTTGTCGGGAAACAGCCGCACAGAGGCCCAAATTATTTGAGCATCACTTCACCAAAATCATAATTGCTTATAATTTTCCTGCGTTTGTGTATGCATTAATGTGTTTTTTAATGACATCCTTGATTTTCCTTTACTGCCCTACAATGTTCTTCAAGTTCCTTCCTGTTCCTTCAATTTTCATCAGTTTTTCTTGGGTAGGGAGCGGCAAACTATACGACCATAGGAAATTGAATGGACACACAAATCTGAAGAAAAACTGATGAAACCACACAGTTTTGATGGCCGCTCGGCCCGTTGTGGAACCTTCCCAAACCGGCATTTGGAGATAAAAAATAAAAACGACACATGGTTTCCTTGCTTCCCTGCACGATTCCTGTGGTTTCGCGTCCTTTGTTGCGCTCAAGCCAGATGCCCAAATCACTAAAAGAGATACAGTAATAGACTGTTGTTTTGCTCATTCCCCACCTGCCAGGTGAGGGTTGTTAGATTTTATGTCAGTTGCCTCCTCCTCCTCCTTCTCCTCCTGCTCCTCCTCCTCCTCCTGCTCCTCCTCCTCCTCCGCCTCCTCCTGCCTCGTCCTCCTCCTCCTCGTCCTCCTTGTCATCCTCGTCGTCCTTGCTCAACTGCGACCTGCGATCCACAGTGTTCTCTGCCGGACCTCAACCACGACCACCCACGCCCAGTGTTCCCTGCCGGACCTCAACCACGACCATCCACGCCCAGTGTTCCCTGCCGGACCTCAACCACGACCATCCACGCCCAGTGTTCCCTGCCGGACCTCAACCGCGAGTATCCACGCCAAGTGTTCCCTGCCGGACCTCATGTAGGAAGATATGGGACAAAGAATGTGCAGAAGAAAGTTAGAAAGAATGTCAGAAAGAATGTCAGAAGATAGAAGCCAGAAGATATGCCAGATAGAATGCCAGAAGATATGCCAGAAGAATATGCAGATAGAATGCCAGATAGATTTGCCAGATAGATAGAATGCCAGAAAATATGCCAGAAGATATGCCAGATAGATATGAGAAGATATGCCAGAAGATATGCCAGAAGATATGCCAGAAGATATGTCAGAATATATGCCAGAAGATATGCCAGATAGAATGCCAGAAGATATGTCAGATAGAGTGCCAGAAGATATGCCAGATAGAATGCCAGAAGATTTGCCAGATAGAATGCCAGAAGATATGCCAGAAGATATGCCAGATCATATGCCAGAAGATATGCCAGATAGAATGTCAAATAGAATGTCAGAAGATATGTCAGATAGAATGCCAGAAGATTTGCCAGTAAGAAAATGTATAAATGTCATGGTGGGGATCACACGAAGTAAAGTAATTTGTTTGTTTTTTCGTTCATTTGTTCAATTTCTTTCAATTTGTTCATCAAAGTCCTTCAGTTTCCTTGTTTTGGGACCTTCAAACCAGAGAAAATCCAACGAAAACTTGCAACATCTACAGCAACATTGATGAAACCCATTGGTTTTCTTACTGCCCAGTATCTGCTGGAACCTTACACACCAGCAAGTGCAAAAACAATGCAAGGAACCATCTATTCTTCAGCGAGTTGCGTCTGAACCAATAAACACTGATTTGGGGGTTTAAGCCTGCTGTAAAACCCGCCACACAAGTGCGTGTTCACATGATCGCGGATGCGCACAGACATTACTGTACAGGTGTACACACAGATGTATGCCCCTGTACGCACATGGGTATGCATACTGTACGTACGGGCGTACCGTACAAGTAGGAAGTCACACAAAACAGCGTTTTGTATGCACTCTTTGTATACAAAACACAATTTTGTATGACTTGCGCGGTGTACAGGTCACACAAAACCAGGTTTTGTATGCACTTTTTGTATACAAACTACAATTTTGTGTGACTTCGTTCCTGTACAGTGCATGTGTGCATACAGTGCGTGCAGCCATGTGCGAACAAGGCTATGCACCTGTGCGTACGTACGTACACATGCGCGCCCACTTGTGCACAGTGTGTGCAACTAGCCGCTGCAGTTGCAGTGTGCAATTGATGTACACAGCAATCAGTACTCATAGTCGGTACAAATACGTGCACGAACAATGCGTGCAGCAATGTAGATATTTAGTGGATCTGTTCATCTCTTGAGATACTGTTTGACTTGTTAGTTTTGTTGGCTGAATTTGCTCAACATACCGGCTGACCAGTCTGACAAGATATGAAATTCCTCACTGGATCCATGACCAGTGGATATATTCGATGAATGAACGTTGTGTACATGTAATAGCTTGATTGCCGTGGAGGAAATTAATAAAATACAAAAATTGAACAGAGTATATACGACTACACAAAATAGAATAAAACAGAGTGGAATACAATAGAATCGAATTAAGAGAATACTTAACAAGTTCAAGAGCTCATTGCGGGAAATGGAGTGAACAAGACAGAGAGTAGACTGCAAGGGTGCTAGGCTTTCACAGCAAACCACCAATGGCAGAGGGCGCGAGGCACGGGGTACTATACAGTCCAATGTAACGCTTTACGCTGCTCAGTGCCATAGTCCTCAAAAAGTGGCAAATTTTCACTAGCAGAAATGGCAAGTGCCCAGGAATTATCTGGATGGTCCTGAACTCTGGCAAGTCCTTTTTTTTCCAGAGCTAGTTTCATTAAAAAGGGGAAAGGGAACTTTTTTCCTTACCTCAGGAGGGAGGTAATCAGCTTTAAGCCTCTTCTTTGAACCCAAAGGAGGCCATTGCTACAATTATGTAAGATGGAAACTAACACCCAAACAATTTTCAAGGGGGTAGCCGCTATGAACCACTCAGTCATTGAATAGTGCGCTTGTTGAGATGGTACTTCATAATGCTCCCTGAAGAACCTTGATGTGGAGTTTTCGCATGTCCGGGAAAAAAAACACACCTCCTCTACTGCAGTTGTCTATCTATGTGTATTTTATTTAGCATCACTTTCCAAGGATACAACATAATCAAACCGATCCATTCCTCCTCTGAATGTCAGATAAAAACAAAGATTCAAACAATTTTCAATGGTGTAGGTTTTGAACCACCCCGTTGCTGAATAATGCAAGCGCTGGGATGGTGCCGAATAATGCGAATGACCTTCCTGAGGAAGTTTTGCAAATCACAAAAAAAAACAGCTCTTCCACTGCAGCATACTGCAGCTGTATGTTTGTTATTTTATTTAGCACTACTTTGAAAGGACGCCACGGTTCTCAAATGGAACCATTCCCTTCCCCAAGGGGATGGCCCATGAACCACCGAATTTCTAAGTAGTGCAACTGTTGGGATGTTGCGTTGCACGTCAAAAACAACACAACTCCTTTAACTGCAACTGTTGAATTTTACCTGGCACCACTTCCGCATGGTGCCCAAGTTTTCAAAAAAACTCTGTCCTTGGCTCCAGTTATTTTCTAAGATAAACACCACCCAAACAATTTTAGGGGGATAACCAATGAACCACCCAGATACTGAATAGTGAAATTGTTGAGATGGTGCTGATGAATACCAAGGACTTGCCTGGTTAGGTTTTTGCAAAAAACACCACGGAAGAAGGAAGTGAAGAAAGAAATGCATAGAGTAAAGAACAAAGAAAGAAAGAGAAGAACAAAGAAGTAAAGGAAGAAAGGATCAAGACAAGAAGCAAAAGACGCGAAGAGTCAAAAAGGTTGGAAGAAGGAACGGACGAAAAAGGCAGGAAGAACGAATACTAAAGAATTAAAGAAAGAAAGCCATGATCCCTACAGTGTTAGTAACGTCTATTGCTCGAAAATCCTCTGCCACTTCCCCCATGAGGTCAACAGTATATATATATATATTTATGTACATATGTTTAAGTAATATTAGCAATAGATTCAAGCGAATAAACATCTCTGCTTCGATTACTGAGATTTTTTCCTGGCAAGACTTTCTTGGTGTTTGCCCCGGTTGTTTGGAGGGTTATGCACTAAATAGCATCGAACAATATAAATCACAAAGTCTACTTGTGGCTGCCGCTGGGGATAAACACATCTGACCTTGTTAGCATCCTCTCTTATCATATAGTATGGCCTTGCTTGACCACACGGCACACACCAGAGGGCATGAAACCGTGCACAGTCATAAGGCGACGCACATCGTACCCACAGGTGTGCGCACGCACCGCGCAGTGTACGCACAGGTGTACGCACGCATCGCGCAGATATACGCACAGGTGTACGCACACACCGTACAGATGTACTGTTCATCTTCCACAACCGTACGCACAGGTTTTAAGCAGCCACTATCGTATTCCTCTTGAATTTAGATAACAAAAAACTATGGAAAATCACCATTTTTACTAGGTAAAGCAACTATAAATGTGCCATGTTCAATAGGTATCTAACAAATTACCAGAGGGCAACCATATTGCCATCTTGCATTTCTTTTCAGGTTGAGACAAGATTTAGAATTCGACCTACCCCCGTCCAACAAGCAACCATACCATCATCATTAGCATCATCATCGGCATCATCATCATCATCATCATCCATCATCATCATCATCATCCTCAATAACCAGTATCAGTAAAACCAACTAATGTTAGTCATAGTGGCATATAGTGGTTATGAGTACTATGTTGGTCATCATCTACTAGCTGTTCTTAACTACTATTGGATTGGATAGTTGCCAAAATTGTGAACTGGTTATCATCTATAACAACCAAGCAGCACCAATATACCCAATTCATTAATAATAGTTAGTTAAGTTATATTTGTGTCCACATTTTAATCAACTAGACTGTGAGGTAGTTTCACATAGTTACGGAAAATGGTCTATTAATAGACATTTATAGATTATTTACCTTTAAGACTGATGATGTTCTTTGGTTTCCCCATAGCTATGATTAGCTACGTTAAATTACCAGAGGTAAGCTCATCCATTTATAGATGTGTGTTGCATTAAAGCCTCCATTTATAGATTATGTTCCCATATGTTCCCATCATTTAATAGGTGAATCATCATCAATGACCATTTGTAATAGCTAAATCATCATAAATGACCATCTTTAATAGCTAAATCATGGTAAATCATCATAACCACACTGTGCAATCATCAGAATGTCATCAACGGACGCCGGCGCAGGTGGCCTGTGGCCTGGACGATTCCACCCTGCGGCTGGTTGACCTGCGCAGCGGCAGTCCTGTGAATACCATGCAGGGCCACACCAAGCCGCCCCTGTGGCTGGGTCGAACCATAGCGGCTCCATGGCGACTGATGGAAATGATGGAAATGTTGGAATGGAATGGCTTTTGCCACGAATCATGGGGAGATGACATGGGAGAAACAAGAAACATGTCGATTTGTCTAGCAAAGATGGTGATTCAGCCACTGAAGCTTGTTGTCAAACAATTTGCACATCGTGACTCGAGCAAAAACGATTGGGAGTCAAACCAAACAATTGGAATTTTGCCAGTAAAACAGTTATCCACCAACAAAAGTGATATTTTAACCAATATGATGTGAATCTCCGCATGGAGATTGAGATGAGGCCACGGAAATGGTGCTTTGAGCCAAAAATGATGTTGCTTAGCAAAAATGATGGGCACATGTATAAGCCCAAATAAATGGACGCCCAACTTTTTTCTTTTTTGCTTCATACTTGATGAAATGTTGACATATTGGTTGACATAAATAACCAGAAACATGGTTATCCTAAAATAATACCAGGTAAAAATCATTGGATTATCATGGATTATCATGGATTATCATGGATTATTAGGTAAAAATCATTGTTGAATTTTCATATCTGGATGATCATGGGCCGAGTTTCTCGGCGAGGTCTGTGGTGTGGGGCTCAGACGATCAACTCTTCTCCGGTGGTATGGCCTGGACCCCGGCCCGATAGGGTGAGGTTGCATTTGAGCGGCCCTGTTGTGACACAATGCACTATATTATGTTATGTTATATTATATTATGTTATATTTTGTTTTGTTATATTATATTATGTTATATTATATTATGTTATATTTTATTGTGTTATATTTTATTATGTTATATTCTATTATGTTATATTCTATTATGTTATATTCTATTTTGTTATATTATATTTTGTTATATTATATTTTGTTATATTCTATTTTGTTATATTTTATTATGTTATATTCTATTTTGTTAAATAATATCATGTTATATTAAATTATGTTATATTATATAATGTTAGATTTTATTATGTTATATTCTATTGTGTTATATTATACTATGTTATATTATATTATGTTAGATTTTATTATGTTATATTCTATTATGTATTTTATATTATGTTATATTATATTATGTTATATTATGTTATGTTATATTATAGTTGTTATATTATATTTTGTTATATTCTATTTTGTTATAGTTGTTATATTATTATGTTATATTATATTGTGTTATATTTTATTATTATGTTAAATACTATCATGTTATATTATATTATGTTATATTTTGTTATGTTATATTATAGTGTGTTATATTATATTTTGTTATATTCTATTTTGTTATATTATATTATGTTATATTATATTGTGTTATATTTTATTATGTTATATTCTATTTTGTTAAATACTATCATGTTATATTAAATTATGTTATATTATATAATGTTAGATTTTATTATGTTATATTCTATTGTGTTATATTATACTATGTTATATTATATTATGTTAGATTTTATTATGTTATATTTTATTATGTTATATTATATTGTGTTATATTATATTATGTTATATTATATTGTGTTATATTATACTATGTTTTAATATGTTTTATTTTTTTATGTTATTTCATATTGTGTTATATATTTTATTACGGTATATTATATTATATAATGTGTTATTATATTATATTATATTTTGTTATTTTGTATTATGTTATATTGTAAATTGTTTTATTGTTATATTATATTATGTTATATTAACATATTAAATTATATTATATTATATTATGGAAGAAATTATTAAATTATATCATGTTATATTATATTAGGTTATATTAACGTATATTATATTATGTTATATTTTGTTATAGTATATTATGATATGTTTTTATATTATACTATTTTATATTGTATTATGGTATATTCTGTTTTATTTTTTTAAATAAATTATGTTATGTTATATTATATTATGTTATATTATGTTATAGTATATTATGTTATATTATGTTATATTATATTATGTTATATGTTATATTATATTTATGTCATACTATATTATATTATATTTTGTTATATTGTGTTATTTTCAATAATGTTATATAATAGTATGCTATATTGTTATATTTTATTATGTTATATGATATTATATTATATTATATCTTGTTATATTATGTTATATTTTATTGTGTTTTATTTATTGTATTATATTTTTTGGTATATTATATTTTTTTATGTTTTTTATGTTATATTATATGATGTTATTTAATATTTTGGTATATTATGTTATATTATTTATTGTTATATAATAATATGTTATATTATTTTATTATATTTTGCTATTTCATTTTTTTCATGTTATATTTTTTTATGTTATATCATGTTATTTTAAAATCTGTTATATTTTATTATATTATTTTTATATTATATTTTGTTATATTGTATTTTGTTATATTATATTATGTTATATTATATTATGATTTATTATTTTATTATATAAAAATTCTATTATATATTTTACTATGATAGATTATATTGTATATTAAATTTTAATATATTTTATTATATTATATTATATTATAATAGGTTATATTGCATTTTTTAATATTACATTATATATTATACTATCTTATATTATATTATATTTCATTTTTTATATTTCATTATTTTATATATTTTTCATTAAATTAGATTTTATTATATCATATATATATATTATTTTATATATTATATTTCCTTATGTTATATTAGATATTATTATATTATTTTGTATTTTATCATATTACATGTTATTTCATCATATTGTATTATATCACATTTTATTTTATTATATTACATTATATATTATATGATATTATATTTCATTATATGATATTATATTTCAGTATATTATTGTATATTATATTATATTATATCATATTTCATTTTATTATATATTATGTTATTTTATGTTATATTATAGTATATATGATATTTTATTATTTTTTATTATATTATATTATATTATATATTTAGTTTTATATAATTATATATAATGTATATACATATACATATATGTATACATTGTATGTATATATATACACACATATATCTCATATGTATATTTATTCAATGATATACCTCTCCAAGTTGGGGATTGTTGGTACAAACAATGATTCTGAACATGTTCCCACAACAGCAGTTCTGCATCAGTTTGTCATGCAGCTCCAAACCCTCAAACCTGATGTCACACATGTCCTTGTTGTCTATTTGGTTGCTATGTTGACCTAATTATAGAAGCAGTCCATTCTCACACAGGCGCAAGTTGTTGAAAAGATGTTCAGGTTGTTTCTTTTCACCAGGTCGTGGTTTCTTCTGGGGGGAAAGGCTCCAGCCAAATTGCAACATGAAATCCCAACAAAGGTGTTTGGATTTCCTGTTTCCAATTGGACACACATTTGGGTCCATGAGAAGACAAGGGGCCAAAACTCTTAAAACATTCACCAGAGATATTTAAAAGAGTGTCCAAACAATATCCAGATATGCTCAAATATGTACACATATGGGTATGGATCAATACCTATTAATACCATTTTTAGGGGGATGAACATCCATTTACCAGTTATTTTGATGTTCACCAGGGGTACAAGGTTTTGACCCACTGCCATATATCGAAAAACATGAGGATGTCGCTGAATAATTCTGACACCAACGGCACCTGATTTTGTTGGTGATTTGGATGTTCCTTTTGCAGGATGGCACGGTGCGCGCTTGGGACACCCGCATGGGGGCACGGAGCCTCTTCCTATGCGACCCCTATGCGCACGAAGGTGCGTAGCTATGGGTGGCGTTTTCTTGGGGCCAGCATGAGCCAGGAGACAAGTGACTGCTTGGTGATTTCACGTGTTTGAGAGTTATGGTATTATGGTGATCCAAAGTGACTAGTATGATCTAGTATGGTTGGAAGGAAATGAAACCACCATCCAGTTGTTATATGGTTGGTTTGGAACATTTTTTTCCATTTCATATATGGGATGTCATCCTTCCCATTGACTTTCATATTTTTCTCCCTCTGGCAATTTAACATAGCTATTGAAAGTGGCCATTTATAGTGAGTTTTCCCATTAAAACCGGTGGTTTTCCATAGCTATGTTAGTTTACCAGAGGGTAAAACCACCAACCAGTAGTGAACTATATCTTCTTTTTAGCTGTGGTCCCTTTGGGATGTCTAGGAAAATTTTCGGCACATTTTCTCAGCGAGCAAAGGATCGCTACACAATGGATGATAGCTGATAGCGACCGGACCCTTGGAAAAGAAGAGAACATATGTATGTATATATTATGTATATTATAGGTATATACACGTAGTACATACTGTAAATATGCGTACGTAAATATACCTAAGACATCCAAAGACGTAATAGTATGTAATGATTGTCATATGATAATATGTAATATGTAATATGTATACATGTTTGTATGTGGAATACATTCACATAATAAATGTACTTATTCTATGTGTGCATATACCGTACATACATGTACATGTATTCATAGGTACAAATATGAGAATCATATGGGATATGTATAGGATACAGCCAAATGGCTTCTCTGGGCTGGGTTGGAAAAGCGGCAGGTGAGGTGGTCCTGAAGAGAAAGGCTGAGAAAACGCAAGTGACAGAAGAGCAGGACACACTGAAGGTTACGAAAGTGCTATGAATAGTATATATTATATATAATTACATAATATGTATACATAAGGGGATTATATACATAGGGGATCATAGGGGGATCATCCGCGAACTAATGAATTAATTCAAACAGAGCTGGAGACTTCTTGAAAATCAACATGTTTGGCATCCAAGTTATTCCAATTGTCATTTTGACTGCAACGATTGGCGGGGTAGTGATGTTTTGATCATCCTGGGCACTCGGATAGATCGGGGCATCGGGGCTTAGTGAGTAAGAATTCGGAGGGCATGGCTCCACTCGCTCCCAACGTGAAATCCAACATGGATATGTTCAGCTGTGTCACGCAAAAAAAAACATTGCCCTCACGACATCCTTTATCCTGTTGGGTGTTATACTGTTATTGTTTGCTCATGTTCTGAAATGGAATCGATGCCAGATGGATGATATGCATTTGCTTTGGCAACTATGAGACTATGGTTTTGAAATGTTTTAAAGTGACTATCCCTATCCATTCCATCCATCTCCATCCTTCACAAGATATGCGACTTTCCGGGAGACGCTTCTCCAGTGCTGAATCTACACACAAGGATCACAACAAAGAAGCAAAGGTCGAGCCATACCGTTTCAGGCAGGATGGGATATGTTCGTGAACTCGCCACGTGCGAAGGTGTGTGGTGTGGGCCCCGATCAACACACTGTTGAAGGAGGAGTTATCACAAATCTACTTGTTTGATCTGGGTTGATGGTGGCTTCGCAACACATCCTTCACTTGTGGATTAAAGCTTGCAGCAACTCCAATCAACTAGAGCCTGAAACCATTGGCTTGGAGAGGACCAGCTATTTTGGTGTGACCTCACCCGGGTAGCAAACTGATTGGCCCATCGTTACGCATCAAAATTTGATATTAGTGTAGGTGAACCGTATTGGTGGAGTGTATCACCAGGTATCATGCAATATAATATATATATATATATATATTATATATATATCATATATTCATAATACATATATACATATATATATAATCACCACCTCTTTAAGGCTACTTTTCAGGGGGGACCATACCAAAATATAAGATACATTTTTTGGGACCCCCCCTTAAATGTAAAATTGATCGCTGAATGTCCCCCAGGTGTCGTTTTTGTGGGGAGGGTCTTCAAAATACCTTCAAAATGCAAGCTTACATTCTCAAGGCCCCCTCAAAAACAGCTTTAAAAACGTAGCTTACATTTGGGGCACATCCCCCCCTTAAAACGGTGATTATATATAAGTATATATATATATGTATACATGTTATATAGATATATAGGTCTTATACAATCTTATACAACAATCTCCTTTAAAGTCTCTTTTTGTTGTTGGCTGCCGACCTCGGTCAAAGGATCACCTAGGACGACTTTTTCACTCACTTAGGACGACATTTTGAGATGAGGACTTCAATCTTCAGGGTGATACAAACCTTTAGGGCTAATTATTTAAGGGGCCAGGGGGGGACCGGGGACAGGGGATCAGGGGCGGGGGACAGTGGAACAAGTAGAGGTAAGAGACCCGACATCGAACACATTGGACTCCATTGGATACACACCTTTAGGGTTGATTTTTTTAGGGGGACAAGGGACAGGGGACAAGGGACCAGGGACAGTGGGAACAAGTAGAGGTAAGAGACCCGACATCGAACACATTGGAATCCATTGGACACACACCTTTAGGATTAATTTTTTTAGGGGGACAAGGGACAGGGGACAAGGGACCAGGGACACAGTGGGAACAAGTAGAGGTAAGAGACCCGGCATCGAACACATTGGACTCCATTGGATACACACCTTTAGGATTAATTTTTTTAGGGGGACAAGGGACAGGGGACAAGGGACCAGGGACAGTGGGAACAAGTAGAGGTAAGAGACACGACATCGAACACATTGGAATCCATTGGATACACACCTTTAGGATTATTTTTTTAGGGGGACAAGGGACAGGGGACAAGGGACCAGGGACAGTGGGAACAAGTAGAGGTAAGAGACCCGACATCGAACACATTGGAATCCATTGGACACACACCTTTAGGATTAATTTTTTTAGGGGGGACAGGGGACAGGGGACAAGGGACCGGGAACAGTGGGAACAAGTAGAGGTAAGAGACCCGACATCGAACACATTGGACTCCATTGGATACACACCTTTAGGATTAATTTTTTTAGGGGGACAAGGGACAGGGGACAAGGGACCAGGGACAGTGGGAACAAGTAGAGGTAAGAGACACGACATCGAACACATTGGAATCCATTGGATACACACCTTTAGGATTAATTTTTTTAGGGGGACAAGGGACAGGGGACAAGGGACCAGGGACAGTGGGAACAAGTAGAGGTAAGAGACCCGACATCGAACACATTGGAATCCATTGGACACACACCTTTAGGATTAATTTTTTAGGGGGGACAGGGGACAGGGGACAAGGGACCGGGAACAGTGGGAACAAGTAGAGGTAAGAGACCCGGCATCGAACACATTGGACTCCATTGGATACACACCTTTAGGATTAATTTTTTTGGGGGGACAAGGGACAGGGGACAGGGACAGTGGGAACAAGTAGAGGTAAGAGACACGACATCGAACACATTGGAATCCATTGGATACACACCTTTAGGATTAATTTTTTTAGGGGGACAAGGGACAGGGGACAAGGGACCAGGGACAGTGGGAACAAGTAGAGGTAAGAGACCCGACATCGAACACATTGGACTTCATTGGATACACACCTTTAGGGTTGATTTTTTTAGGGGGACAAGGGACAGGGGACAAGGGACCAGGGACAGTGGGAACAAGTAGAGGTAAGAGACCCGACATCGAACACATTGGAATCCATTGGACACACACCTTTAGGATTAATTTTTTAAGGGGGGACAGGGGACAGGGGACAAGGGACCGGGAACAGTGGGAACAAGTAGAGGTAAGAGACCCGACATCGAACACATTGGACTCCATTGGATACACGCCTTTAGGTTTAATTTTTTTAGGGGGACAAGGGACAGGGGACAAGGGACCAGGGACAGTGGGAACAAGTAGAGGTAAGAGACCCGGCATCGAACACATTGGAATCCATTGGATACACACCTTTAGGATTAATTTTTTTAGGGGGACACAGGGGACAAGGGACCAGGGACAGTGGGAACAAGTAGAGGTAAGAGACCCGACATCGAACACATTGGAATCCATTGGATACACACCTTTAGGGGGGGACAAGGGACAGGGGACAAGGGACCAGGGACAGTGGGAACAAGTAGAGGTAAGAGACCCGACATCGAACACATTGGAATCCATTGGATACACACCTTTAGGATTAATTTTTTTAGGGGGACAAGGGACAGGGGACAAGGGACCAGGGACAGTGGGAACAAGTAGAGGTAAGAGACCCGACATCGAACACATTGGACTCCATTGGATACACACCTTTAGGATTATTTTTTTAGGGGGACAAGGGACAGGGGACAAGGGACCAGGGACAGTGGGAACAAGTAGAGGTAAGAGACACGACATCGAACACATTGGAATCCATTGGATACACACCTTTAGGATTAATTTTTTTAGGGGGACAAGGGACAGGGGACAAGGGACCAGGGACAGTGGGAACAAGTAGAGGTAAGAGACCCGACATCGAACACATTGGGATCCATTGGACACACACCTTTAGGATTAATTTTTTTAGGGGGGACAGGGGACAGGGGACAAGGGACCGGGAACAGTGGGAACAAGTAGAGGTAAGAGACCCGACATCGAACACATTGGACTCCATTGGATACACGCCTTTAGGATTAATTTTTTTAGGGGGACAAGGGACAGGGGACAAGGGACCAGGGACAGTGGGAACAAGTAGAGGTAAGAGACACGACATCGAACACATTGGAATCCATTGGACACGCACCTTTAGGATTAATTTTTTTAGGGGGACAAGGGACAGGGGACAAGGGACCAGGGACAGTGGGAACAAGTAGAGGTAAGAGACCCGACATCGAACACATTGGAATCCATTGGACACACACCTTCAGGATTAATTTTTTTAGGGGGGACAGGGGACAGGGGACAAGGGACCGGGAACAGTGGGAACAAGTAGAGGTAAGAGACACGACATCGAACACATTGGACTCCATGGGACACAGACCTTTAGGGTTAATTCTTTTTAGGGGGACAGGGGACCGGCGACTGGGGACCGGGAAAAGGATACAACATTTTATGATCTTCTCCTGTCAACACTCTGGGGTCAGGGGGGCCAAGACTTAGATGCATTGGAGAGAGAATAAGCAGGACCTTTGCCAATAAACGTCGAGACGAACCTCGGATAAGCCTGCGGCAGCGATTACCAAAAGATGTTACGACACACACACATGCACGGTGCAGCGGCAACCTGATGATCATCTCTAATACACATGTACAAGCCTCTTGAAATCATGTTCAAATATATCTTTCTATATCTTTCTATTGAGACTGTAGCCATATATCACCGACGTAGGCCTAAGCGAGGCACTGACCGGCGACCTCGGATGACCCCGGCCTCAGGTCTTTGGGTCGCGTGCTGGGCACGGACCGACGCTTTGAGGATGGATCCGTGCGTCAGATGGTTGGCTCAGACAGTGATCCCGGCTGCAGCTGGTAGGGACCATGAAAATGGTGTGTATAATATGGTAGAAAAAGAAAATTGTAGAAAATCAGATGCGTATCACGTATACATTAAAGATCATTAAAGCTTATTATGAGTTTTGAGTGGGTTTTGATTGATGTTAAGTATTGTTTACGTTTACTGATGTTTAATGGTATTTCTAGCACCAAAGACTCATTGTGGTCACGGCAAGTTGCCAAGAAAAATGACGGGTGCAGCAACAGACATGGGGAGCAAGGTAGTCCTTGCCTGGTATTATCCAACCTAGCAAGAGGCAAAACCAATACTGTAGTGCTTGTTCACCAGCAAAAAAGGACCAGGGAGATTTCAGTAGCAGTTTGACATGTTTGTCCCAACAAGGGTCTATATAATGCCAGAATATGTCAGAATTCTCAACCATGAACCCTGGTTTATCACCATTACACCATTTATGAGATGTGGGTTCACCAACAACACTGAATCCAATAACATGTTGGCATGAGAAGTAACAGAGCACGATGATATCCATTTCCCAACTTCTAGTGGTTGTTTTATTGTTGTTTTCCATTTTTTTGGTACGGTTTTGGACGGTTCCACCAAGTCTTACGAGGTTCGAAGTCCCAAGGTTTTCTGGAGCTGGAATCAACGACCGGGAAAAGCTCCAAGGGGACACCCGAGCACCTCAGGACAGCGATACCGATGTCTTTGGGGCTGGAGTTTCTTGAGTTTTGTTGCGCCTATGTGGTTTGCTACGCCTACTTAGCAAATGTATTTTATTGTATTTTATTGCTGTTTGGATCCAGTGCCAATGGGAGGCCTGAGCTAGTTGGGTGCTTGCCGTCTTTGCCTAGATAGCAGGAATGGAAAGTCAGTGGTGGATTTGCTTTCTGGCGTCCTGACTTGGTCAATTATGCTTTGCAGTAGTTCTGGCATTGGATTTTGTGATGTTTCCTGTCTTGGCGAGTCTTTCTTCACGGTTCTAAAGTCGTTTCATGCGTCGTTTTGACGTGGTTTTTCCCCTACCCCGAAAAACTCACCATGGAAAATCCGATTAGAATGATTTTAAATGAATGATTTATGGGGGTTCCCCAATTTCAGGAAACCTCCATTTACTCTGAAGGATCCATCTTACTTACATTTCAGGGGTGTAGTTCGGTTACTGTAGGTTATTTTTTGTGATTTCTGACACTGGTCGCTTCCCTGATTTGTTGTTTGTGAAACTGGTGTCAGTAGGACATTGGGGCTTGGAATAGAAATCAGTACTTCTGTGTTTCCATGAAATTCTACTGAAACCAGTTAGTTATTAACTTGTGCTATGCATCGCGCAGCAAGTTCTTGGGATCGCCTGGTTTTGCATGGATGGACGTGGCAAAAATGCGGAAACTGATTGATAAGGCTCTCTACTCTATCCCATGGCATGTTTCATCAGTTGGATTTCAAAATTGGAGAACCTTCCAGTTACCTCTGAGACAGGTAACCAGCAAGACTAGGGCAGTACAGGAAGAAAATTATTCCATGGTGATCAGCGGACCATCCTTCACTCTGCCTTCAAGGAGAAGTCGAGAAGAATTCTCCAAGGATGCAGAACTAAAAAGGCGCCATGTCTTTGGACCACCCAGGACTGAGGGTTAACATCTCGGTTGGATCAATGGGTTTTTGAATGGGTTTCTGTTTTTTGCCGTTCATTGGGGAATTATAGTACCCATCTGGTTGGTGGTTTGGAACATATTTCATTTTTCCATATATTGGGAATAATCATCCCAACTGACTGTCATATTTTTCGGAAGGGTTGAAACCACCAACCAGCCATATATATATATGTATTAATATATATATATATGTAAAAATGAGATGTACTAAGTATCCAAGATTAGGTATGTCTTGATTCCAGGTGATTCCAACTTTGAACAGGGTCCTGAGAAGTATAACGTTGAGTCAACGAAATGGTGATGTTTAAACACTAAGGAACCCCGCCCAGAGAGAGGGCTTGGGATGCTTTGGGTTAGGGTTCATCATTTTTTATCCACATAGGAAATCTGCTCGCAGTTGACGTCGGTAGTGATGATGTTTGCATTTTCCGACTTGAATCAAGCCACTGAATTGTCATCAGAGCGATCGCCTCGCTTAGAAAGGAAGTGTTGTTGACAGGAAAAAACTGAAAAAACCCAATGGGGGTTGGATCACTTGATGGCAGCATGCTCCCAGGGCCCCCATCCAGGTCCCCACACTTCAGGAGGCAATACGAGCATGACGCATCCTTGGCACACCGAGGGGCGGTCACTAGTGCCGCTCGGTTTCCAAGAGGTGAGATGTGTTCGGGAGAAATGTAACGAACTGCATAAATATTACCCTCTGGTAAACTAACATAGCTATTGAAAATGGCCATTGATAGTGGATTTTCCCATTAAAAATGGTGATTTTCCATAGCTATGTTAAATTACCAGAGGGTATATATATATATAAATGTAATCTAATTTGGAACCCTGTATTGGGCACATATCTCACGAAATGAAAATCAGAACCCCCATGCACTCGATGGTCAACATTGCAAAGAATATTACTGGCTGGGGTATGTCCATGTATTTCCTCATTGAAAATGTCAAATTTGTTTTGGTTGTGTCGTTTGCAGAACAGGCCTGAAGTGCCCTGAGAAACTGTGCCCATAGATTTGCAAAGTTGAGATTACTTATTGCCACCTATGCGCCGGTCAGACCATTATTTTCAAGCATGGCACAGCTATTCCAGTAGGGACTGGTCACACCCCTGGATGATACAGGTCGCTCTGATTGATTCGTCCAACTTTTTGCGCAATGTCAACCCAAATAAACCCCTGGGCTGTGCAATTGGATGCAATTGAGGGGAGACCATTTTAGTAGCAAATTGCCACTGTTTGAGGATACCCGGATACCCCCCAAACTAGTGAATCAGTGTTTAGTTATCAGGGGTTCACATTGCCGATTCCTTTCCATATGGATAGAAAATATGTATATATATATAATTATATACCAACAGAATTACCCTCTGATACTCAAACGTGGCAATGGAAAATTCCCATATTTACAGGATTTCCCCATATTTTCCCATGATTTTCCAAGCTAGAAACCTCCATTTTGACGGGGGAATTTCCCTGCTCGCCACGTTTGGGCCTCTTGAGAGGTGTGTTTCGTGGATGGCCGGCTGCTCTCATGTGGAGTGGATGGCAAGGTGGGGCCCGTGGAATCCACGGGTCCAAGGGGTGAAATCAACGGCTTCACCAGGGCACCTGTGAGGCCACCAAGTGGCATGCTGTTTTTCCAGAAGATGCCTCCAAATCACGAAAGGTAGCGTCAGCTACCTGAGTTCTCCGTGCTTCAGCACAAGCTTAGGGGGTATTGGGGGGCCAGCCCGTGGAATTCATGGAATTCTCGCCGTTATGTATTGGATATCAATTACCCCCCCCCCGAAAATGGTCATGGGTTCAATTCCCACGGGTGACGCGGTCACGGGCCCCCACATTAGAGGCACACTTTCCATGAGGGAGATGTCCCTGTAGTCCAGCATAATTGGTTTGCTTCAGCTTCAATAACAGTTGCTGCAAGGGGTTTCAAAAAGGGGTTTTAAATAAACCCCTTTTCGTGCATCATTTCACGCTGCACAAGACACCGTATCATGCAGTCATGCTCTGGATAAAATCATCTTAGACTGCGCAAAAAAGTTTTTGGTGTATCGTCTTAGGGGCGCAGCATTTTGACACCACTCCTCTCCCACTACACTACCTTTCGTCCGCCTCCGCCTGCTCTCAAGTTCCATGAGAATTCCATGGATCTAGCGACTTGATGTATTTTTAGGTCCATTCCATACCCCATTTGATAATACTTCTATATACTTCGCCAGCTTGTTGGAACGCCTTCCCAACCAGGTATGCTTCACCCGGCCAGAAAAAACACAATTGATAAGATGCAGTTCCTTAGCATGTTGCTTGATGGTCACCTCGTTGACTTATGCTTGGTGCTGACTCCTGAAGGTTGATCCATGAAAAATCCCATGTCCAGGTCCGTTGCTGGGACCCCAAGACTGGGCATTTGCAGGCAGGACCGAGCCAGCTGTAAGATTTGAAGGAAGACGCCCCTCTGTGTGCCAATTTGTGCCATGAGTTTCCCGAAGTTTGACGCGGGTTTGGACCCATCCATACCCATCCATTTTGTTGATTCTTTTTGTAGAAAGTGATTTGTCTATTTACGTCAAAAAAAAACGAAAATGGGAGTTGGGGTAAGCACCTCAAATTTTGGACACTTTGTGGGGTATCTAAACCCCTGTTTTCCCCAAGCAGAGCCAGAATCCTACTGCTATTCTAGAGTGGACAATCCTCGGGTTGGTTGCTGATGTCCCATAATGTCCCATACTGTAATGACTGGTTGGTGGTTTGGAACATGTTTTTTTCCCACATATTGGGAATAATAATCCCAACTGACTAATCTTTTTCAGAGGGGTTGAAACCACCAACCAGATGATACTGTCCCCGTCCCCATATTTGACTACATTTGGATATCCTTTCTATATCTTTGCTCAGCTATTTCTCACCATTTGTGTTTAAAAAATATCTGAAGTGTTGGTTGATTGCATTCCCACTCCACTCCGACAAATGTCGGGTAGGGCCTTGGCATTTCCTGGAATAGTTCCCTTAAACCAAGCTAGTGAATGTCATACTTGGTTTAGGCCACGTCCCCTAATTCTCGGTGCTTAAAATTCTTAAAACCCTATCTTATTGTTCAACTATGTTTTTAGACTCTTTTAAAATATGTTAAATATGGTTAAATCCTATTTGATCTATTTGTTTGGTTAAAAATAACATTGTTGGTGTCAATGTTGGTGAACTGTCGCTCTGGCTCGCCATGGAGGCCGAGGCGGCCAAGCCGACATACGTTTTCTATCTTTTCTATCCATGGTATAAAATGTATAGAGTACTCAACCAACAAAGGGTAGAAAAAAAAATAATGACTGTTTTATTCGGATTTGACTGCTCACTATCTTTTCTGGGGTTGCCATATGTGACATGTTTACATATGTATGGAAATATGGGTATGTTATAAAGATTGCATCCTCATATTTGGTATAGACTTGTGTGGATGCTGACAGAGATGATGTGTGCTTAGGATTGTTGATAGATGTGTTGCATTATGTGAGAATGTGAAAACAAATCGAGAGGGCGGAGAAAATTGTGATGTTTCAATTTGACATACCCGCAAGTGTTGTTGACCTGGGTGTTTTCCTGAGTTGCAAACATCGGCAGCAGTGTGAATTTTACGGTGACTACAGTTTCCCATACAAAGCCATCCCATTCCCATCTCAGCCATGTATGGTAGATGCGTACCTACAATGTTTTTTGTGATTTGGGGGCTAAAATTTGAATATGTAGGCAAGGTCTACTTCATAATCTATCTGCATGGATGATGCGAGGGTCGCCTTGCGCAGGCTGCAGCTTGGAGGGAAGTGAATGTGGAATGTGGCAGAGAGGACTTGATCGTGGCTCGATTCCAGTGCGGGTTCTTCTCCCTAGTGACATTTCGTGACCTATGGAGGTACATCAAGAAATGATGGTGTAACAATTTGTCAAAAAAAAAAAGGAAAAACAAAGCAAAATTGATCAACAGTGCCAATAGAAATTGGATGAAATTGGAAAAGATTCTGATAAACAATGAGATTTGGGGGAGTACCCTATTTGCAGATACACCCATATAGTATCATAATGTATCATATAGTCACTTCTATGTCGCTTCTTTCTATGGGTTTGTTGCCTTCTAGGAGCAATCCATGCAGATGGCTGCTTTGGGATATCCAGACGAAGTGTGCTTGATTCCAGAAGAGGACGGAAGGCTTCGGGTGGGTTGGCAGATGTGGGATGTCCTTTGTTGATCTCTTTGGTGCGTTTCCATGGTCGATATTTGTTTCTTCAAATCCTTCAAAAGATACCGTCAATCCATGTTTCTATATTTTCCATGATTTGTCTAATTATATGTTTCTTATCCTTAAACAATCTCAATTTCCTCCAACATCTCTCTTTCAAAAGACTCTGATCTTCCTTTCAGAAACTCCCATGGCCAGCCCCATTCCTCCACCGCGCCACGGCCAGGAGTTCTTGGCGGTGTACAGCTTGCGCTCGGCGCGGTGTTTTCTGCGCCTGGCAGCGCACAAGGGCGCGGTACAGGGCTGTGAAGCCTGGGACGGGCACGTGCTGTCGGCAGGTGGGATGTGGGGAGACTTCAGCAACAAATCTTGGCAAAAGAAACACAACATTGAGGAAAACGTCGGGTAATAATCATAAAGAAACAATGAATATCTTGAATGGATGAAGTGAGATATCTGCTTGCAGCTTGCAGAACTCGAGGGCAAGTATATATACATATAGATAATATTTATATATATATATATATGAGCCACCGCAAAAAAAAAAACGGCAATACTAAATATGTATTGGACAGACATTGGTTTATGGAAATTGATGGAAATTGTATGGGACCTTCCCAAATTCGCGATACCCCTTTTCAAGGTTATGTCTTTGTATTTCTCTAATATCCACATTAGCGATACCCAAATTGGACGTTGATTTCTGTGAATTATATATATATATAAATGTAGCAGTTTCCTGCAAGCGATACCCCCCAAGTTTACCATATATCATTATTGTACATATATATATATGTGTGTGTATGTATACAATTATATACAATTATATAAATGTTTTGTTAAATATGTCTAGTAACCAGTAAGAGAACTAGGGATGGAAGCCATCCAGATTCAAGAGGCCAAGAGACCCGAGCCGGAGCCGTCAGATCCCTTCATGTCACTCCTTGGAAATGTTGTGCCACCAGCTACTACCAGGTATGGCACATCATGATTATCCCGTATTATCCCACTTCAAACCAGTAGGTGTCGGAGCCTCACTTCCTTCAATTTCGTTTGAGCAAGCACATGCAGGAAACCCTTTCATACACATTTGGGCATCACTTATACAGGTTTGGGCATAACTTCCCGAAGATTTCCTTAACCAACCCATGAAACACCGGAAAAACAATGGCTTCCACCGTGCGCCCAACCACCAATCCGCAGGCTCCGATGGGTTGCTTTTGCACTGGCGCCGCGGTGAACGACATCAGGGGCAAAGTGGCTGTGCTTAGTGTTGACTTGCCCCGTCACATGGGTTAGTAGACCTAGGGGATCACTTGATTGGGGTACCCAGTTTTGACCCGTAGCCCCATGTCTATGTTGACTCGCACATGAAAACCTGCTACTCGTACTTGGATGATGTTTCATGAATTTGTCATGAGGCTATCAGAGCGATTAAAGACAAACACTACTTGTACCTCAAAGGTGTTTTTCAACGCATTCTGCAAATCAAACCTGAACGATGAATCGATCCTCGTCATTGAAATGTGGGAATTGGTGAAGTGACTACCCTCTGGTAAACTAACATAACTATGGAAAATCACCATTTTTCATGGAAAAATCCACTATAAATGGCCATTTTCAATAGCTACGTTAAATTACCAGAGGGTAACCACTCCAACCAGGCATTGCTGCAACGGTGCCGAGGTGAAGTCATATCTTTGGATGATTGATTCGTCCGACGTGGCTTTCCATGAGTCATCATTTCTGAAGTTGTACAGTTGAATTACCAGAAATGACAAAATTATCAAAGAATATAAATTACGCCAACAAATCTCAAATATAATTGAAATTGTCTATGTGAATCTTAATTTTGGAGGAATTAGTCTGAGCCAATGTCAATGTCATTTGGGTAAAGCATAATATACACGGTGCCTAAGGGAAGTCGTGCAGGTGGTTTTATTTGATGTAATTTAGCATGGCTGACAACATAAGCACCTGCCACAATTGCTATCAATTGTCTTTTTTTGATGTCGTGTTGCTGAGAGTTGATTCTCTATACCAAGCGCTTGAAGCGTTTGCATGAAGTTGTGTTCTGTGTGCACACGTTCTGTTCAATTAGTTGAAAGTAATCATGATATCGAAACAGCGTGTATATTATATATTCATATATCATGCATTTTGAGAGCCCCAAGTAATTCCTCTACAAAATCTAAGATTCTTTTGTAAGCACCCGGGGTGTAGTTCAGCTTTAGCGTAGAAGGGTTATGTATATATTAATATATATATATATATTAATAAAAATATTTAAAAAATATATGTTTAAAAAACATCGAAAATATTTTAATATATTTTAATTATAAAATAATATTTAAAACTCCAAATTTTAATATTGTTAATATTTATATACACAAGAAGAAATTGAAAAAAAATGATTTATATTGATTTAAATTAATTTTAAAATTTTATTATTTTGTGTAATAAATAATTATAATATATTAAAAAATAAATTATATTAAATTTTATTTGTTTATATAAAATAAAAATAATATTATATATAATTGTTTTTCCTTTTAAAATATTAGAATTTATTATTAAATAGTGTGTATATGGGAGAATAATGTATAAATATATTGATTATATTTAAGGATAATTATGATAATAATGATGATGATGATAAATATGTTGTGGGTAATAATATTGAGAATAATTTTATTAAATATGATGTTGAGGAAACTAAGAATGAGGATGATAATGTAGAAGATGAAATAGAAAATGATGAGGTGGAGGATTATAATATTGAGAAGGAGGGAGATAATTATATTGAGGATAATAATATTGAAAATAATAATATTGAGGATGATGATGAAAGGGCAATGATATTATGGGAGATGAGGTGGAGGATAATGATTTTATAGAAGATGAAATAAAGATATTGATATTGAGAATAATGATGTTAAGGGGAAAAAAATAATGATATTAAAAATAATGATGATAAATGAGGAGGAGGAAAATGATGGAATTAAATATAATAATATAAAGGAGGAAAATTATTT